GATTGCACTCCAGACATAAGTCACATCGAACAATTATCGTTTACTTTGCGATTTGTTGATGTTTCTTCAAAAGAAATATCAATTAAAGAACATTTCATTACTTATGTACCGATTGAAGACTCCACTGGGCAATCTTTGTATGAAACTACACAACAAATTTTACAAAAAAGTAATTTGGATATTAGAAATTGTAGAGGACAAGGATATGACAATGGATCAAACATGAAAGGCAAAAATAAAGGAGTTCAAGCTCGTATGCTTCAAGAGAATCCACGAGCTTTTTTTATGCCTTGTGGATGCCATAGTCTGAATCTCGTTTTAAGCGACAGTGCTATTTCTTGCACTGTGTGTGACATTTTTTGGAATAATACAAAGGGTCTACACTTTATTTTCCGCCTCTGTCGGGAGATGGAAAATTCTTACAGATAGTTTGCCATTCTTGACAGTGAAACCCTTATGCATTACTCGTTGGGAGAGCAGAATCAATTCTTTAAAATCTTTTCGTTTCCAAATAGTTGAGATTCACGATGCTCTCATAACACTTAGTGAAAATGTTTCATCAGATGCTGCTATTAGACATGAGGCTCAAACATTAGCAACACAAATATGTGACTTCGAGTTCATAGTCACTCTCGTAATTTGCTACGACATTTTACATCAAGTGAATATTGTGAGCAAAAGTATGCAATCTATTAATATGGACTTAAACTCTGCTGTAACACTATTAGATTCGTGTATTAATTATATTCGAAAGTATCGAGTTTCTGGATTCGAAAGAACATTAGTAGATGCTAAACAACTAGCTGAAAACCTTGACGTAGATGCTGTTTTTGTAGATAAAAGAGTTCGAAGAAAAAAGCGTGCAATTATGTACGAGACACCAGATGAGATAATGACTGATCCACATGAACGTTTTAAAATATGCGTTTTTAATGTAATATTGGATAAAGCAGATGTTTCGTTAAACGAACGATTTAAACAGCTAAAATTTTTCGAAGAAACTTGGGGGTTTTTATTTAAATTAAAAGATTTGCCGATAGTCAGTGAGTTGGAGAAATTGTGTCAAAATTTGGAAACACAGTTAAGCGATGATACAGACCAAGATATAAACGGTAAGGAGTTATGTGTGGAACTACAGTCGGTAAGTTCCTTATTTCCCAAAGACGTGAATACTCCACTGGAAACATTAAATTTCATTCGTAAAAATAATCTGGAAAATACACTACCGAATGTATGGATAGCATTGAGGATTTTACTGACAATTCCTATAACAGTTGCTAGTGGGGAACGTAGCTTCAGTAAATTAAAACTCATAAAAACATATTTACGATCTTCCATGACTCAGGAACGATTGAATTCATTGGCATTATTATCAATCGAAAATGAATTGATAAGCGAAGTAGATATTAGTAATAAAGTGAAGGAATTCGCTGACATGAAGGCAAGGAAAAAGTTCATATAAACCTATCTTATTTGAAAAAGCAGTTTTTTTT